CCTCACCACTCAGACAGCTGTCTTTGGAAACAAGGACCTGGAGAACACACACGGAAAAGCATTACAAAAAGCCACAGAGATTGCTTTCCCTCTACCAGAGCTTGAAGGATGTCGTGGTAGAGAGAGCGAGTGCTGTCTGAAAGCACCACCATTTTCATGTCTTCTCTTCTTAAAACAGCAGACAGCCCTGCAGGTATGACAGACCCGGGGATGACGTTTGCCACCTTGGTGACAGAGGCCACCAGCGCCTGTGTCACTCTGCTACTGCTCACTCGCAGCTGCTCATTCTCTCCTAAGGAGAAAAGTCAGTTGAGGGACTTACTCTTACTTCACTCCCGACAGCCAAGGTGTCTGATTTATTATTATTTTTTTTAAATATATTCCTCCTCTCCCCAGGCTGGAGGCAGAAAACCTTCACGGCAAATCAAAGGCCACAGATGTCAGGCTACTTTTCTTCTCCTTTACCTACGTAATGCCATGGACAGCCAGAGGCAGAAAGCTGCTGGTCCTCAGCAAGATGGATTTCCTTGTCTCTAACCAGTTCGTTCCAGCTTGGAGGGAGAGATCCTCCTTTTAGCATCACATTACGTGGGGCTCACGCTCAGGTCCCTTCTGCGTCACACGAAATCCTCCTCTTCTGCTAGCATCTCTGCAGATCCTGTTGTTACATACAACATCCTGCACTAGCAAGAGATTAATTATCCTCTGTGAGTTACCATCTGTCAGCTGATCCCATTAACAAACCATTCCCATGTTTTCCACCTACTGCAAAGGAAAAAAAAACGCTCACAGTTCAGGCTTTTTTTTACTTAGGAATTGCAATCAGCTTCTTATAGCCAACTGCCAAAGGCCAGCTGATTAATGGTAACTAACCACACAGAAATCTGGTCCCCTGCTCTCGACTGAGCCTTAGCCCACCCAGCTGGACAGAGACAAGAGGGTAATGCTGGAGATTACATGCTGAGAGGTACAGGTGGAGTTCTGACATAGCCAAAACCCTACAGAAGATTAAGTTGCCCTAAGACCCGGAACAGAAGCTAAGGAAGCAGAAGGGGACCCGTAGCTGGGTCCCAGACACAGCTCAGTCTTCAGCAAACCACTCCTGTGCCTCTGCTTCCCCACCTGAGCAATCACACGTCCTCTTCTACTTTCCACAGAAACCTTTGAGATTTGTGTATCAAAAATACTATATGGGGAATATCACTGCCAGGACAGACAGCAGCATGCACTGGATACTCTTCACAGCACTGACCATGCAGGAAAGCAGGATGCTCTGGCACTGACGCTAGCTTCCCCTACCTTGCTCAGTAGCTATCAAGATTGCCACAGCAACAGGAAGACAGAGGAGAAAACTATTTCACTGGAATGTATTCGGTTGCTTTTTAGTGGATTGACATAAGAGTTCGTTTATAAATACATCAAGAGCATGTCAGTGTGAAATTGGAAATGAGAGTGGATGGCAGCACTGTGAGCAAAGTACACGGGGTGAGAAGATTAAACACACAGGTTAACCCGAACGAGTTACAGACTGAGACCTGGGGGAGAATGCAGAAGCTCAGCTCTCATCAACTCCACTGATTAAGCAACAGAAACCCTTCTCACTAACGCAAACTGCTTCGTGATTGCTTGCCTCCATGCTGTCACAGCCCTGACGAGCTTCTGCCTCCAAAAGGCCTGCTGTCAGCGAGCAGGGGCAGTGCTCGGCTGCGCTGCAAACGTCTGCTTTTCCCCTTGGGAAGGGAAAGCCCACAGTGCTGGTGCTTGCAGCAGGCTGCTCCGCTCCCAGCATTGCCACTGCTCTCAGCCAAGCCACATAACAACACAGGAAACAACGAGGGCCAGTGAGGTTGTGCTAGAGGCTGAGGTCTTCCCCAAATCAAGGAGGCTCATTAAAACAGTTAACAGCACAAGAGCAGCTCTGACAGGACAAGCAAGCCACAGTACCTTCACTTTCCTTTGTGACAGCTTCTCAAAAGGCTTCAGCATTTAACTGAAGAGGTAAGTGGTACCTCAAAGGGTACATTCAACCATTTGTTTTAACAGAGATCAATTATTATTCATCTACTTTCTTAAAAATAAATATATATATATACACACACACGAGCAAGAAACTCCACCTACCTTTTCATTTTATGATGCAAGCAGAACTGGAGCTGCATCCACATGTCCTGATCCAACCACTCTCCAAACCCACAGCAAGCAGTGCAATAAATCTGTTCGCTTGGACACACTTCAGTCACCAGTTCCAAACAGGACTTAAATCAGCAAGTAAAAACCTTAAGACACCATTTTTAACCCTGATTTGCATTTGTAGCCATTTTAATTAAAGATCACTAGCTTCCATTAACTGGTAAAGCCATTAAATAAATAGGAAAGTCCTAAAGGCAATCACTGTCAAAAGAATTCTAACTCGATAAAAATAAGGGACATCAATAAAGTGAAAGGAAAAATGCATGTCTCATCACTTTCTGTTCAGATATTTTTTCCTCTCGGGATTTGGGACAGAATATGTGGATGAAAATTAGAATTAATGGAAAAATGACAAAGCTACCTCAGGCACGGGGCAAATTCAAGATTAAGTAAATCAGTAGCTGTTTCTAGGGGGATTAAGTCCATCTGTTCTCAAGGCCTAAAATTGATTGGCTTTGCTTAAAGCCTTGTTATTTACTGTTCAGTCTTGTTTCCATGAGTTCAGACACCTATCCTGCTCTGTGGTGGTGAATGGAGTGAAACCCAGCTGGTGGCCAGTCACCAGTGGTGTTCCTCAGGGGTCAGTGTTGGGGCCCACCCTCTTTATTATCTTTATTGATGGCTTGGATGAAGGAACTGAGTGCACCCTTAGTAAGTTTGCAGGTGACACCAACCAAATTGGGGGGATGTGTCAACCGACTGCAGGGTAGGAAGGCCCTGCAGAGGGACCTGGGCAGGATGGGTTGATGGGCAGAGGCCGATGGGATGAGGATCAACACGGCTCAGTGCTGGGTCCTGCACTTTGGTCACACCAACCCCATGCAGTGCTGCAGGCTTGGGGCAGAGTGGCTGAAAAGCTGAGCAGAGGAAAAGGATCTGGGGGTGTTGGTTGATGCTCACCTGAACACGAGCCAGCACTGTGCCCAGGTGGCCAAGAAGGCCAACAGCACCCCAGCTTGTTTCAGGAATAGTGCAGGCAGCAGGAGCAGGGAGGTGATTGTGTCCCTGTACTTGGCTCTGGTGAGGCTGCACCAGTGCTGGGTTCAGCTTTGGGCCCCTCACTATCAGAAGGACACTGAGGGCCTGGAGCGTGGCCAGAGAAAGGCTACGAAGCTGGGGAAGGGTGGAGCACAAATCCTGTGAGAAGCAGCTGAGGGAACTGGGGGTGTTTGGTCTGGAGAAGAGGAGGCTCAGGGCAGACCTCATTGCTCTCTGCAACTGCATGAAAGGAAGGGGTGGGGAGCTGGGGGTTGGCCTCTTCTCATGGGTAACTGATAGGACCAGAGGGAATGGCCTCAAGCTGTGCCAGGGGAGGTTCAGGCTGGAAATGAGAAGACATTTCTGCTCAGAAACAGCAGTCAGGCATTGGGACAGGTTGCCCAGGGAGGTGGTGGAGTCACTGTCCCTGGAGGTGTTCAAGGTGAGGTTGGACGTGGTGCTCAGGGACACGGCTCAGTGGGTGACACTGGTACACTGGTGGTAGGGGGGTGGCTGGACCAGCTGATCTTGGAAGGTCTCTTCCAACCTTAATGATTCCATGATTATGATTTTAAAATGTTCTTTACACACATTTATTAACTAAACTAAAATCAGGAATATTTAAAAAGTACTCCTGAATGGAGAGGAAGAATCTCAATGCCAGCACTGACTCCACTGCAAAGAAATAGTTTGCATATAACACGGTATTTCAACAGTCCTAAAGTTTAAACTGATGTTAAACATTAAGGGTTCCAAACTGAGTAGAACACTGAAAGAGTGGAATTATTTAACTGCATGAAATGCAATGTTTTAGTAACATCAGATTTCATTAAATTCATACAGGACACCTGCTTTTGCTTTCTGAACACTTATAAGCACACTAAGTTTTGAGCCTTGGAACCGGACAAACTAAAACTAGGAACAGCAAACCTTAAACATCCATCGTTTCGTGTTTGCTATTTGCTTCTGTGGAACAAGAACCCAAAACATGTTTTAATCTTTCTTCTGAAAGGGGAAGAACCAGTTATTCACAAAAGGTCACAATTTCTTGCTCTTTTAGGTTTCATTTTTCTCAGTACCTCAATAGCATAAGAAAAATTGCAAACAAACAGGGCTTTTGTTGCTAATCACTTTGGCTCTTTACAAACTTCCAGACAAAGCACGAGCTGAAAAAGAATTTATTTTGTTAGCATTCTTCCTAGTAAAAAGACTCTTCTGAAACTTTTCAGTGAGCATGATGTCAAAAAGCCACTGGAAGTTAGTTCACTGATCAGGCTTCCTGTACATCTGAATATCTAACAGCTGATCAAGTGCAAAATAGTAATTTTTTCCCCAGCAGATACACAGTCCATTTCCCAGGGTAATGAAAAAAAGTACCTAACATGAGCTAACAGCCAATTACAATTTAACCCTCAATAAGTCTGGTTTCAGCAGAAAGTTTACCTTTCTTTAAAAAAAAATAAAGTAAAATACTATAACCAGCAGTTAAAACACGTTAAATTTACTTTAAACGCTGCTCATAATGAAAATTAAATATTTTCATACCTGTAGCAAAGCCATTTCTGTTCACTGAGGGTTTGAATTCTTCACAAGACTGATGTTATGCAAACAGCAGACAGAAAAGACAATTTTCTCTTAGAAGTTTAGCAAGACCTTGTCCATCTCCTTGAGTAACTTGTCTTTTGTTTCCAACCAGTGGCAGGAAATACTCATTTCTACAGCTGTCTATACACTTGATCACCAAACGGCTCATCCTCACCACAACACACTTTGAGCATCCTTCTAGGATTAAAAAATGTACTGTTTCCCCGCATTCACAATAAGACACCGCATTTTTTATCATCTCCAGCTTTGTAAATGGCACAGGCCATTACAGAACAGCCTGCTTGAGAAAAAGAAATGATACAATATTCATTTGTTTTGTTAAAGGAGAAGAATTTACTTTTTTACAATGATCAGCTATGGTAAGAAAGACTTTCATTTCATTAAAATTAGACACTAAGCATGAAACAGCCTTAAAACAAAATACCTTCAATGTAGTAGTTAAATTTTAGCAAAAAGATGGCTGCAAGACCACACTCTGGGCTGCCAAAAGCAGATACTAAACTTCAAAGGCTGATTCAGGGGCAGTGGGGAAATTGACAATGGACAGGGAACAGAAGGGAGTTACTATGAACATCATACATCCTTTCTGAACATCCAAGATCAGTGCCAAAACGGAGTAAGAGTTTGAAATCAAGTGTTGACAGCTCAGATCCCCACTGAAGCACCGCCCTGAATCAGTAGCAGTTTCTGTAACCCATCTCCCCAGTCAATAAAGCAATACACTTAGATTTCTGCCTTCCCACCCTGACTTCTCACTGTCCTTATTCTTTCCTAGCTTTTTTCCCCCGCTACAACTTTCCGTCCAAGGTTTGTGCCACAACAGCTGCAACCCAACAAATCCCAGTACCAGTAGCTTGCTCAACACAGCTGAGGGGTTACAGTGGGGTTCCAGAAGGGAATGGTGCAAGAGATCCACAGGGGTTTGCTTCCAGGAGACCATTCAAATATTCAAAGGGTGCAAACTCAAGATGCCCTCCCTCCACCCCAGCTTCTGCAATTTAAGGCCACAGCTACTGGAAAGATGAGTTTGGGGCTGTGAGAACAGCTGTTGTTTCCCCCTCATCTGTTTAGGGATAGAAATGATGAGCTGATGGTGATTCAGATTGAGCTGCGGGGTCGAAGCTGTGTAATTAAGCTTCTATGATGTGCACCTGTATCACACCTGGCTCTAAGAGGAACTGCTACATTTCTATGCCTTGACCAATACCTTTAAAGTTACCCTAAAACAGGTAACAGATAACAGCAGTAGAGAAATCACCTGCTGTCTTGCCAACTTGCTAAGACCTTCCCAAAACTGTACCAAAGTTTCCAGCTATTTCCCCAAACACGTATGAATAAAATGATATAGGCAGGAAATAAATCCTGCTGTTTACCTAATGCTTTTTATTATAAGAACTATGATGACCATCTTAAGGCTCATTGACAAATCCTGTTTGGTACATCATCATCTTATAAAAACCTGCCACACACAGAGGATGTTAAGTCATATTAAGTATGCTTCTACCCTGACAAAATACAGCCTGCTGCTTTCCACCTGGCTAACTGCAGCAAAGATGGCACGTTTTCCAGGGGTGGGAAGCAGCCATCACCTCCTTTCCCCACCACAGCTCCAGATCTCGCTCAAACTCTAAGCACAGTAAGAGCACAGAAGGTGTTTCAGCCAAACAGGCAACACATCAGAAGCTCAGCCGTAACACTTGACTCCAGATCTGTGTAGGTGCATTGGTTATTGGGATGTGACTGCCACCCAACTGCAGCGAGTAAAAGAAATGGAAACAGATGTTTAGAAGAGTCATTTATCCAGATACGAAAAAGGCTAGACTGATGCTGAACAAGCAAGCTGAAAAAGAAAACCAAAAAGATGCCTCACAAAGTAACAGATAAAGGCAGAAATTACAACTTTTTGTCCAGTAATCAAAAGAAGGAACACAAAATTGATTTGCACGGAAGGGAGATCTGACAGTGCTGCCAGGGTGCTGTGTAGTTCACGCCAGTACAGTCACACACGGTACTGGTGGCTTCAGCCATCAGAGGCAGATCAGAGTCAGATCTTGAAACGCCCTGGAAGGGAGTACATTCATAGAAACACTTGAACATTTTGACTCGTGTTTCTGGAGGATAAGCATAAAATCCAGTGTTATCTCCACTAATTAAAACACCCTTCAAAGGGAAACCTTTGTATGATGTTTTAGGGAACGAAGGTTTCAGATGTACGCTAAGAACATGTCAATACAGCTGTCCACTCTGTACCAGACTGATATTTATCCTTCATTTCTCTACATGTACAAATGGTTATACTCACATATTGTTTCTATAGTCTTGCTACTTGTAAAGTCAATTAATCCTTTGTTTTATACTCGTCTGCCTATTTCAGGAAATCTACTGTAGCAGTATAGACATACTCTCTGCAGGTTCATTGAAGGGTTTTTTAATGTGAAGAGAAACGGAAGCTTCAGATTAGCCACACGTGACTGCTTAACTACATTAAAATCAACTGGATTTTCAGCAGTTTCTGAACTGATCAGACTTTCCCAAAAAAGCCTCAGCGCTCGAGTCTTTAACCTGTTCATCACATAACGCTGATGTTATATTACAGATGCATCTCAGCTGCAATTGAACCTGACAGGATTAGTCTCCTTTTGCTCAACATCCTGAGCCTTGCAGGAAAACACCAACAAAAAACAAACAACCTCAGGTCTTGACAAGCAAAGTTTCTTCCATCGGTCTGATTCAAAACAGAAATGTTATGCTGTCTTCAACGTACAAGTCCAATCTATGCATCATGAAACAATGATGAAAAAAGTATGATGCAAAGTCTTCTTAGTCACCCAGAACATAAAGAAAACATACAGAAGCCTGATGCAAAGTCCAGAAATAGTCCAGGGCAGTGCTTGGGTATCACTCAAGATTTTAGGACTACTGTGGATAACGTGGCCAGCCACAAAGTGTCTCATAAGAGGTCATGACAATGTTCTCTGTTGCTAAGATGAGAGTGAACAGACCGCCATTCCCCATTAGATGTTTGTCTATTGGTTTTAATTAAAAAAAGAAGAGCAAGGAAGAGCATACAGTCATGCAGCTGATCGTCGACGAATCACAAAAACTCCTCGCTGCAGCTGTCCCAAATAGATTCGCATCTTTGTGCTGTCGCTGGTTTTCCTCACCCAGATCTGCATAAAGGAGAGAGAGAGGGAGGCAAGGGGGAAAACGTTGGGGTGAAAAAGGGGAAAAATCCCACAGTAAGTAACATGCAGCCAAATAACTCCAGGTGTTCAGATCTGACAATAAGAATCTCTGTTACTCACGGTGCACAGATAAATCACCTTGATCCTTTTTCCCTCCCCCCATTAGGCATCTGCAACCTTTGTAGAAAATCAAGTAACACTTCTGACTTCACCAATTTAACTTTCCACTCAAATCAGTCATCAAGAATAATTGCTTTTATGGCAATGCTTGGGAAAAGTAAAGTTTGCTCCTGCTACAGTTCTTAACCGGAACTCCAGCATTAAGCTTTACCTAATCAAGAATAAGTCTCTCTAGATCCACAGATCATAAAAATGACCTATCCTGGGATTTGTTCAGACACAAGGAACTATTAGTCAAATGAAAAGCTGACTCTTAATTTTGTTCAGCGAAGCATTTCTCACAGTGTATTAAATAATCTGTATCTGAAGATAAAAGGGCCTCTTTTTCAGCTACCTGCCTGGAAAAATTCATAGAACTTGCAGATATATGGTACGTTTCAAAGGACAAATTGCTTCCATGGAAGCAGCCATTCAGAGAATTAAAAAATAAAATAAAATAACTTTCAAGAAGTTCAGACCCAAATACTTGTCCTTCAAAAAAATCAAATCTGAACAGGACTCCTCTGTGTCTTATTATTCTAAAGCATTTACACCTTTAAATAAATGCATGGAAAATAGGAGTTTTTCAGCTCTTAGTACTAGAATATTTTAGGACAGAAGCCCAGTACTGCCCATTGCAAAGGCTTTTAAAGTCAGTGCCTGAATATTATTTATCCCAAACTGGGAGTATTTTTTAGATATTGTATTAGCTACAAGCCTGGCATAGTAGATTTATACAGTTATTATTTTAATTACAATTTGACCTTACTAGCAGAAGCCCTGAATATAAATTTAATATTTGCCTGCATTTGTACTTCAGTTATTTCCCCAGAGAAATTAAAATCTACCTTTACTGATAATCATCTCTATTGCAACATTTCCAAGTGTTTGGTAGGATTTGCTAACCAAGAGGATTTGTACGCCTAGAAGCTGAGTGCCTGTATAGAACAGTAAACACAGCCAGTTTGCATTCTATCACACTATGATGGAATGGCACGCTGCTTTTGCTGAAGTTATCAGTTTTTGTTAAGCTTCATTTGGAGGAAAATGAAAATTCCGTTTTCAGTGAACACAGTGAAATTACTATTAACCCTAAAATGGGCCACACAGTTAAGAAAACTAAAAGAATCAAGACATTCTGAACCTAAAACCAATGTTTTAGGCATACAATGTATTCTGCCATCAGAAGATAACATCTATTAATTTAAAGAACTGAAGGACATGGCGAACAGAAACAACCAAACCCATCCCTTGATTTCTTTTATTCCTAAACTGTAAAGAAAAACAAGTTTATTCCTTTTTACAACTTCCAATAAACTGATATTTCTGAATAAACTCATGGGAAGAAAACCCTTTCCTGTACCTACTGAAGAGGTCATAAAAAAGGAAACGTTGAATTGTTTCCATGTGCTTGGCCAATGATTTCCACTAATGCAGTAATCTGACTCAGTTTCCAAAGAAACCACATGGGATTATTTTTTTTTTTCCTCAGTTGGATCATTATAGCTCATACTGCTGGAGATGCCCACAGCCAATTCCAAAATTCAAATCCAGTTTAAGTAACTTAGACCTTCATATGAACAAAGATGCCTGATACACTGTTAATGACTTCATTTTTTCAGCCACAAGACAACAATTTTATATAATAATATTACGTTCCTTAGTTAAGGCTTTTTTTTTTTTAACTTTTTTTTTTTTTTTTTTAAATGGAAGTGCTGTTGGGGAAACACCCTGTGCCTTTACCTTCAGTAAAGTTCCTTTGAATTGACTTGACTTCCTTTAGAAATGCTCTCAAGTTATAACTCTGGTCTACAACTGGAGATCTCAAATCCAGGTTTGCCTTCTAGCTTCTAAATTTGTGCAGAGCCCAGAAAGATTCAAAAAACAATTGCAAAATGAAAATGAGTGATGCAATCAGAGCTGCAGAGTGCACTCCTAAGAATGCTCCCTCATTTCAGTATTTTTTTTTCTCATCTCCCATCTTTACATTGTTGCAGAAACCTATCACAGGGAAATTAACTGCCATGCCTTCTCCCAAACCTTTCTCAGAAAAAGGAAATGAAACCTATGGTGTCACTTAAAAAGTGCAATTTCTAAGTGAGAAATTGCATTTTCCTCAGGTTTGAGGTAAGCTGTTCCCAGAAGATTAAGAGTTTTATTCTTTTAAGTTAATAGCAATAACTCCAATCAAATTAGCAGCACTCTGTTTGTACCACATCTGTTAGCACACTACTACATCTAAATAAACAACCATTGAGCATAACAGAGCAAGGAAAACAGTTGTGATACAAAGCACATCCCATATGCAACTCATTTTGTTGAAACCAAAGTGTTTTCCCTTAACTGCCAAAGCAAATTAAAGCTGCTTTATTGTCTGATTGAAGAGAAGTGCATTCAAGTCTACCATTTCTTTCCTTGAAGTGTTTGGAATCTGCACGCAAAGAATAAAGTGCTCCCGATGCCCAACTAATGGACTGCTCAAACAGTAAGATTATATTGCAACGAGATTCACATCAATCTTCAGCACACAACTCTCTCTTGACCTGCTTCTCTAAGTCTTAATCATTAGCCAACAGGAAATTGTCTCTGACAAACGATTCACCCCCTCCATCTCCCGTGTAGGTGATGAATGATGCCAGCTTACTTCACAGCATAAATACTCATGTTAGCAGGAAGAATTTTCTCCCTGGAGGAACTAAATTTGGTGACAAAGTTTTTCCTTACCCTCTCCTGGTTTCCAAATGGGATTTACTTTTTATTTTGCATTAATAGGAGCTGTGAATACATGCTTTAAGTAATAAAAATGGAATTTATCAGGGTAGCACCAAGGAGATGCAACATCCCAGTTCTCCCCATTTTCCTGCCTGCCAAACTACTACTTGCAAAATGTAGGATCCCCTTTCAGAGAGCAACAGCAAGGCTCTTCCCATCCGAGATCTACCCCAGGATGAGATCTTAAATCAGTTTCATCTTGTATTCAGCTTCTTTAGACACCAAACGACTACATCTTCTCTGAAAGTAGTACCTGCTCTTAGGCCCTACTAAACTGATGTCCACCTGACTGAACTGACCCATGAACCCCATGAAACCCAGAGCAGCCACCTACCTCGTTGGCGCCCACAGAACTGATGACACAGCTGATCTTAGTGTTCTCTTTAGACTCCAGGTAAATGGCCTGGCTCTTGTGGTACCTGCAAAAATAAAACAACAGATGACACATCAAACCCTTAGCTGTCCAGAGACTGAGAAGGTAAATAATAGTAAGATTGATAAAGACAGGATTCTAAAAGTATTTGGATAGAATAAATACAGTTTTTTTCCTTTCCATGCCACTTTCCCCATCTTTGGGGCATAGCTGATCCTCCACACACACTTTGCATTTAAATGCAGCTTCAGAATGCACAAAGCACTCTCCATTTGAATTCAATTCTCAAAGCAGATTACTAAAAACAGATTTAATATCAGAAAGAGGCAGAGCACCAAGACACGAGATAGGACACTGATTCACAATAAGCCCTCACTTCGAGTTAACCAAACTAGCTTTTCGCACTTCAGACACAGGATGGATTTTAGATAGCAACTCCATGTTGTGCCTGATAAAATCTGACAGAGCAAATCAGATGCTAAAGGATTATTCACATTCCCCAATAAAAAATTACTGGAACACTAGTGCAACAACAACTCTGAAGTGTACTCAATTCAACCGTGCAGTCTATTGTTTAAACAGAGACCTCAAATTTCTAATAGTCTTATTTTGTGAACACATTGAAGATTACATCAAAGCGACAGGTGTGACTGTGAGAAGCTATATATACCCACAATAAGCACAAAGTATCAAAGCGTATTTTTAACTTTTACATCACATTTTAATCATGCTGTACATGTTTTATACGAAATGCCTTAAGAAAAGAAAAGCAAAGACCCTTCAAAATTCATAACCAAACTGCCTGGTTTCATGGTCTTGCCTTCTTCACCCACACCACATTTCTGGTAAGGGCTGCAAAGTATGCTAGACAAAATTCTGCTTCTGTTTATTTTGCTTAGGAGAGTTCTGCAAGTAAAACCAGTTATACTGAAACGTTATTTGCAAGTAAATTATCTTAATCAAGAGAGCACCAAAAGACTTTGGTTATGAAAGCAGATCCGTATTTCTGCCTTCAACCTAATCATGATGCGCTTCATATTTATCAGGGAAATCCAAGCTGCAGACTCACCACGCAGATCTCCTCAGCATGCAACTCCCCGCAGCCTGATGGGCTGACAGCCATTTGTCAAAATACACGCATTTGCATAATCTTTGCAGTTATTTCTACAATAACCATACTGTAAATATGGAAGTCTTCCAATAGTTTATTCCATAATCTCTTCCTACTGGCTCATGTACTCAGAATTTTCACACTGCTTGCCAGGAACAAAATGATAGCGTCGGCTTTCGGCATTCCAGAAGTACTATCAAAGGGCTGGGCAAGAGAATTAAAAACAAGAAAAACGTTTCTCCAACCTTAAGATACTTGTGCCCAACCATTCTTCTTTTTCCCTCATTTTAACAGAAATAGTATCAGCAGGTATCAGGGCAATGCAATAGCAGCAACGATACAAGCCAAAAATCCCAGCTTATTGAGCCCAGGTGACTGTTAATCGATGTAAGGGAAACCATATAAGCTGCTACAAACCAGACCTCGCTCTGATAAGGAATAGGACACTGATGGACTGGTATTTCTACCATGATACGTTGTTAGTGCTTAAGCAAGGAGTACTGATCATCTTGATAGCACCAGTGCACAAGCTTCGGAGTGCAGAAGACACCAGCACAAAAGAAAACTCCTGACTGAGATCGGCGGAGGCACAAATGATGAAATATGTTTCACTCAGAGCTGTTTGTTTCAAATTTTTAATTATCAGTGAATTGCAAAGCTAATGACACACACGAAATTGGCTTCAGGCTCTGGATTTCACTTCACAAGTTGCCGTCCATCAGTGAATTGATGTTAATTATGCACAGAAAAGGTAAAATAAGGTAAATCCAACACTTTTTCATTGAGTAGGTCTCAAACAGCCTCAAGCCCCACACATGCAGAGAGACAGGACAACCAAAGTAACCTCGTGTACCTCAGCAACACAGTCACATCTCAGCCTTTTGCAGCATTTATGCACCCACTAGGAAACAGAAGGGTATAACTTAACAGGAAAACAGATGAGGTTAAAAATACAGTGGAATTTAAGTTGTCTTTCAAGAGAGAAGGAAAAGTGCCAGACACCCCTTACTTCACCACTATGACAAGCGAGGCAAGCAGAAATAATTCCACTTTCTGCTACAAAATATTTTGCTGAAAGGCTGAGATTTTCAGCTGCATGTCCATTAGAAGATTGAAAAAAAAAATCACTGTACTATTGTATGCAGGCAAAGCTAAAAATAAAAAGAAGAAGATGGCTGTTTTATAGAGAACTGCATTTTAGGGTCTGGTGGGGGTGTGGAACAAACAGACTGGGGACAGCAAAGCTGAAGTTTAATTTCACATTTCAGAATTCCCTACGCAAAGCCTCCATTTTGGAGATATGTTTGTGAAATACTTCTACAAGACCTTAGGGAGGCCACTACTTTAGGTAATGGTCCTTCCTAGCTACTGTCAGGAAGCAGAGAAAGTCACTCCCAAGCTGTCAGATTTATTATTTCTGGCACATGCCAGCAGCTACAGCCTTAATACACCTTAGAAACAATTACCCTCCCACTTATCAAGAGTTTCTTCGTTACTTTAAAATACCACCTGCTTTGCAGAAGTACCATTACTATCAATCAAAATCTAAAAGCAGGATCATTACAGTCACAAACTATGAAATACTGATCTTAAACCTGCATATAAGAATAAAGCAGAGGGGACAGCAACAACTAGGATTCCTGACAGTGAGGCCCCTGTGACTTTCATCTTGCTGAATCCAATTTTATCTGTTAACGTTTTACATCCCAACTAGATACCTTTTGGGGAGAGACCGTGCCTTCGAGATTCATCTGGGCTCACAGGAGCACTCCCAAGTTTAAACTTGGTAAGAGTTTTACTGATCGATTATACCAACCTCCATCTTATTTTTCTTGTTATACAACACTACGGTCATGTGCACGGTTAAAAATTCTAAGAACAGTTTATTCATCCAAATATATCCTAGAGGATAGTAGCTTTACACAAGAAAATAAAATTCTGAAAGAAAAAAAGGAACTTAATGCATTTGTGAAGGAACAAGTAGCCTGTTTGTGTCTGGTTTATGCTTCAAGGAAGTTTAAGCTCCAGGCAGCTGCTTTTATCAGAGCTGTATACATTGAACCCTTGGTGAAACTTCACTACCCGAAGACTACCAAAAGGAAAAGCTGTAGAAGAGAACTGCTGTGTAGACAACAAATTCCATGCTTATTACTCACAGTAAGAAAATTACAACCCCAACACTTGTTATTTTAAGCCACCAGAACACCAAATGGGCTACAAGTAAGCACACTACTTGGAAATTGCTTTCTGGTTGAGGAATACGAGACTGCTCCCTTGATTATCTAATTTTGCATGTCTCCAATTAAGAGCTGCTAAGATTCCTGTGAAATTTTAATATTTTCTTCACATTTTGTAAGGCTTCCACAGCTAAATGACTGTAAAACTCAGTGATAAATCCAATCAGCAGTTCTGAAGCTGCCTCTCTTGTGTGGATTTGATCTTTAAAGGTTATTTGGATTTGTTATTAGAAACATTTTTCATTGTGAAACAACATTTCTTCTGCCACCTGGTGGAATGATGGGCTAGTGTACTACAAACCAGAGCACAAGGACACTGAATACAGCAGGCAGCAGCTGTACCTGAGATCCCAGCACTTCTGTATCCTAGCTGACAAGCTGCACCGCTACATCAAACTGCATCCATTGGTGGCTCTCTTACATGAGATTAGGTTTGACAAAAATGTTTCCCAAGTGTCATAGTGCAAAAAATTGAACAGAAGGACAGATAAATCATGGAGCCAAGCCAGTAGTTACTCCAGAAACTCTGTGAGGCCTGAACACTCCGTTATCACTTACCATTTACCGAAGTCGTGGTGATTAACCCTTGGAGGAAGATGGCTAATACCTGCCCAGAAGTGTTTTGTCCCCAAATTCTTTCAAAGAGGCAATTCCTCTTCGAAGTCTTTGTGTCTACGCAAAACAAGGCTAGGACTGCTTAAAAACAGAAATTTACCGGGACTTACCATCTTTTATCATAGTAGAGTTTTCCATCTTCTATCCGGGCTTCAAACCGCTGTGCTGGAGACTCTGCTGGTGTAGCTGGGAGGTGTTCAGGGGAGGAGGGAGAGGCTGAGGACAGAAAAGAGACCAGTTAAAGAATAGCTTGTGTCCACCATTTAGCAGTACATCTGACTGAAAACAGCAATTAATAAGGTCATGTTAGGCAGAAAAAAAAAAAAAAACACATAGAAAAGCTACAAACTCAAATTTCCATCAGAAAAATACACTCTATGGGGAAGAATAATTTAACCTATGCTTTGTTTATATAAATAATAACATTTACTGAAATAGATCAAACATCTGAAGAAGATTTGACAGGTAGGTAAAAGACAACACTTAGTTTGTTTTAAATCCTAATTTATAATAAAGTAGTAAAACAGGGTGAGGATTACTTAGGCAAGTTAATACTGCTCTTTCCTGAAATAATCTGTACAGACCCATCTAGAAAGCTAAAAACATGAGTTTTCAATCCTCTATCTACCATACAAACAGCTAAGTTGTGCAGGTGCATCTGAATATAATGAAAAAATCTATTTGCACAGCTACGTTGTCTGACATTTCAAATTGTCCCACGTCACCCAAACATTTCATGCACCTAAAGCTGTTGGGGATGGGAAGCATCCCCAACAAGTGATGAAGGGACTCCACACAGCACCCCAATTTGCCACAGTAACTACCCAAAGAACAGCAATTACACAGTCAAAACATTTACAGAGTCAAATTACGGAGTCGGGAATTGACAGTGAAGAAGTCTACAATATAAATCTCTGTTCAAAACATGGTTGTGAACAAGTTCCAATGCAACCATTAACTCACCTGGTCTCTTGGGTGATTTAAGCTACATGGAAAGAGAACAAAGAAGTGTTACAGATCTGACATGAGCTAAGGAAGGCTATCGCAATAACTATAGTTTTTATTTTTAAATGGACAGATACGTGGCATAACAAAACCAGAATAGTATGAATAGTCTCGTGATACTAAAGGTGTTGAAATGGAGCTTTCTCAGAGCATTCAGATAGTCCACCAAAAGCAGACAAAACCGAATCCATCTCACACACTTCATTCTTTGAACGTGATCCAACTTTTCTTGGGGCACACCAAATACAGTATGTAAATTATTAGAGACCTCTACAGCTGCCAAAATAGGCATGCTCCACTACCGTCCTCAGAAACCTCAATGAACAGCTTTCTAGTATGAGAAACCATAAAAGCCTCTCACCATTTAGCAGGAAAGCAGTAGGAAAATGAAATCTAGAAAAAAATTGAAGGATAAACATACACACTGCACCCCAACCAGTCTGGGAAAGTATTGCAACACTGGGGAGGGGAAAAAAAAAAGGAAGGCCCACAAAGGCCTGAAACAGAGGCAGGCTTTTGATCTCACAGAAAGCAGCAGTGTTAACATCTGTTCAGCCACAAGGAGAAAGAGAGAAACACTCCTTAAGATAGCTTATCATTTGCTTCTGACAAAAGGTAACATTTTTACATGACAGTCATTTTAATCAGGTTAATTAAGCTTATTACAATCGGAGGGAAGAGATACCATCTTGCTAAATCTTTTATTGTGTTATTTTAGAAAGTCTGTTGGGGTGAAACAGTCCCACGTGTCAGACAGGAACCTAAGACAGACAGCTCTGTGCTCTTCAGGGAAGAGCATTAGCTTTCTTTACAAAATAAATACAAATCAAGCCATAATCCCTACCTTATTCAGGGTTCTCAGGTCCTCCATTATTTGCTCATCAGTCAACAGGTAATTTAGCTGAGGTATCCAGAATTAAGGTTCCCATAAGCTCTCGACAAGCAAAGATATAAATTAAAAGTCAATGACATCTCACTTCACTGAACATAAGCCAGAAGGTTTCTGTAAAACTGCATCAGATTTTAATACGGGTGTTATACTTGAGCTTTTCTTTGTCATATGAATTAGTACAAGTCAATCTCCACAGAGTCTCATCGTTAGCAACAAACTGTGCCAAATCATTTTAATTTATTCACATATAACCATCAACGAAAAACCTTTAGTGCATTGACATTTACTTCATATAGGCAATCAGTAGCATTTCCAATGTTGTTCTCTACAGCAATGCAAGAAGAAAAATCTGGAGGCTGAAACACAACAGACTAGCTTCAAGCTTTGTAAAATTGAGCTGAATCCCACCCAAGTCTAGGAAAAGAAAGTCAGCAGTTTGCAACTCAGTAGGAGGAACAGAGAGAGAGGGATGGATCTTTACTCCAGTGACGAAAGGCAGAGAGCTTCATACTACAGCTGCTCTATCATGCTCAATTAATAGGTCATGTTTGCTATGAAACTCATTTATTTCAGATGAGATATGAGCGCTAATAAATAGATATATTTTTTTTAGAAAAAGTGAACAGAATCTCCAACTAAGAAGAGGTTAATTAAAAGTGGAGATGCTCATGACTATACTGCATGAACCCTAGAATTTTAAGTTCTGATATCGCCTTCAGAAAATGTGAGTCACTCAGGAGTCACAAGATAAGTGTCTTTAATCTAAGCCAAACAAGTCTGGAATCTAATAATAAACCTCTGCAAAGCAAATATCATTGCCTCCCTTTCCAGGTGAATTTAATATACAAACAGAAAAAGTGCCCGCCGTCATATATTTCCAAAAGCCAAAGAACATTTTAATTATAAAAAACATGCAATGAGGCAGGACAGTAGGATTACATATATATGTTTTTCTGTTTCTTGTGATATATGAAGACAAGATGGATTTTCATCTTTTTATTATTCAAAGAACACATCTGGCACTCCACTGACACTGCTTTTGCTATGCATCTTTCTGTATTAGATATCCAAAGCCTTTATCAGAAATGGAAAAAATAGTTTGATATGACAAATATGATCTTTCTAGCAAATGTCACATCTTGAAATGAGAAAAGCTTTGGCTCATGGAAAAAGCCATTTCCTATCTATGGAATCAATTGCCTCAACATTTAGGTAAAATGACAAGCTTTTCCTTTGTGAAAAAATTACCAGAGGAATTCAAACCGACCTTGCTGACAAAAAAATCACCTATGTTATCTCATGGCACTGTGAAGTAAAAGAGATTATATTGTCTTAGTAAGGGATATCTAAGGACTAGCTGTACTGTATTAGTTTATCACACAATATACAGGAGAAGTGATGTTTTGGTATTTCCCAGATGAAAATCAGATTCTAGCACCTCATCTCATTTTCTTTCCTATACATCACAACACTGATGCATTTTGCCTCGCAGGCAGCATGCTGGCTTCAGGTAGAAAAGCCATCCAACACTTGTGTAAAAGGATATCAGGGGCAGGTTTCCTCCTCTTGTCTGGGATGGGAACTGGATCATTTGGTCGTCGCCTCAGTTTCCTCGTCATGATAGGCTTCACTTCCATAGAATCTGTAGGGTAATGAAGTTGGAGAGCAGATAAGACCACAGGGAGAGAAGTAAGAATCAGATACTTTCTACACAAGGCACAAGGGAAATGATGTCTCCTCTCCTGCACAGAGAATTGGATTTTTTTTCATGATAGCTTCCAGCATTCAAGCTGGAAGTGCTGACAGTGAATACAAAGTCTCTTTTATAGGAGGTCACTGTTCAATATCAGTGCTGTGATGCCATGGTTACAGCTTTCGCTGTCTGGAAGTTGCACAGTTGTTTCAGGGGCATTCAATAGCTCCTTTAGATGCAGGTAACTGAAGTACAATGACGAAGCAGAAGGGTTCAGGGAATTTTTTTTATGCTAATGGCAAATATCTGCTTGTAAATAGACCACTTAAAAGGCAGGGTTCATGGAGGTCTTTGCTAACAAAACTTGAACAGGTAATAGCACACAAAACATCACCTACATATCAACTGTTCTTTTTTGTGCCTTCAAGCTGGAAAAATAGGTTTGTCCAAGCAATACAGATGGTTAATGCATTTGAGACAGACTGATACAATCAGGTGGAGTAATTTTGAACACAAATAGGATTTAAATCCAGATCTAAAAAAAGTTTCAAATTATGTTTTATAAAATGAACGTAATTAATAACTCCCAAAGCAACGGTTGTTAGGAAATAAGTTGTAGCTTCTACACTGGGGAAAAAGACAGAATCTGTCTAAAATTTAAACATCTCATCATTATCTGCATTGCAGTTTGTCCAAATATCTACAGGTCATCTCAACTGAACCGCTTTACTCTGAAACTTACACGAATCATTCCTAAATTTATGAGGATACCTTGAACTGGCAAGGAAGAGACCACATCTTAAATGCTAAACCATCATTTCACCTCTTCTATGTGCTATGAATTATTTGCTTATCTTTAAGTACACATGAATCACATCCCAGATAGCACTTAGGTATATGAAGCTTCTGTGGCTCCCTCTAGATGCTACATCCTTGAGCAACAATACATCAGTGTTCTGATGTGTTCAAAACACATCAAATTACTTTTCTCCTTATCTCAAGGGTGAACAAGGATGGCCATTCCGCACATCAAAGGAAAAGATATTGTGATAAAAGATTAAAAAAATAAAAAATGAAGTGCCACCCTCCAAGAGCACACCAAAGGAAACCTCTCTGCAATTCAAAGCCAACTGAAAAACACTGAACACTAATAGCTCTGCAGACACTAAAAACATAAGTTATTGTGCTGAATGGAAGCCATCCTTCACATTTGTTACGATTGATTTACAAGAGCCTCAAAAGAGGAGTCTGAAGCACTCACTCAAGGTGATATGCAGCCAAGCTGAGAAGGCTTTTTCACCTTTTTTTCAAGAATAATTTGAAATGAGTCGTCACAGAGATGGTATCTGTATTGCTTAAAATGTGAATAAGGCAAAAATATCATTTTTGTTCTCTCTTTATCTTAGCACCCTGTATATTGAATTGTGACAAGTCAGCTGAAAGTTACCACCAAAGAAAGTTATCAGGAAAAAATAGTTTGAAAGTATTCCATTTACCATGAAACACCTGAAGAGCTTCGACATTCTTGAGAGATTCGTGAAAATTTTATAAAGGTTTCAAAGAGCTGCTCAAGTACCAACAGATTTAACCTGAAATATAGGCTTGTGTGAGGCTGAACAGCTGAGCCCCACACCATACAACACTCCAGAAGACAACAGCTGCAACCTAAAAAAAATGCAGGTGAGTCCTGGCACTCACACCAGCCTATCATCAGGTTGCCCACTTGCATTCCTGCATGCACTGAGCTTTTAAAAGTTTTAAAACTCACCAAGTCCACACAAGCTCTAGTGTTCTTATTTCTTGGCCTCCAGCATGCATTCAGAACAAAACCTGCTAGTTCTAAAGGAATCAGATTGCATTTCTGCTAGCCCGGTAGGAAGGAGATGAGGGAAATCTGTCTAGCACACACAGAAGGGATTGCTGCTCCAGTTATTTATGTGCCTTTTCCCAGAGTTGTATCTGATGAAACTGCTCACCTCTCCAGGACATCCAACAGTGGGTGGCCATGCTTTCCTGAGAAGAATTAATCTGGTCCCCAAACCAGACACATTTCTACTACATACCCCTTTTTACTCCTGCTCAGTCTCCCTTCAACTCTGCAAATCTCAGTCCTGATGCTAACAGCTGTCCTGCTGGCAAAGAAATTGGCTTCCTTCGGATTCTGAGAACATTAGCACCCAGATTTTCCAGAGCTACGATCTACTCAGATCCTGATTCCTTAAGGAAAATCTGCTTGCAAGATTAGCATTGTATGCCAACTTAGTAGTTGGCAAACATAGGCATGGGATAACAGTAAGATAAGGCGAAGGCACAGACAGCTTGTGAGATCAGACTAGACTTCATTACTGAACAAACTAACAAACCAAAACACCACTATCAGGGAAGCAGCACAGCACAAGGTGTTTTCCAGACCAGATTATCACTAATAGTTTGTACAAAGCCAAAAGCACTCGAATACATCCAAACAGGTTTTATTTCTCCCTTCAGAACACTAATTAAATTATCAGCTTACATAACTTGTGCAGCTACTAGGAAAGAAAGACAAAAAACAGTCTAATTCACAGACAGGCCTCAGCAACACAACCAATGTTATCGGTCCGTAAAGTGAGGGAGTGTTTTTTTTTGAGGAAATCAAATCAGACCTTGGGTTCAGCACCACAACCTGTGAAAGAGGCTAATTACCACTATAACTCCACCACGACCATTATTGACAAGAGCACAGCCGAGGTATCAAGCGGCTTCATGAAAGAAATCTGTCCATTTAGCATCCATTTTCCAGAGTCTGGGCAGAAATGCAGCTAACAGACATCTATTTTACCAGCTTTAATAGCACATTTCAACCTTTGTTGTTTGCCTGCCTTTAGCTTCTTAAGCATCTGTTACTGGAGAAAAAAGGACAGTTTAAAACCCGGTACCACTGATAAGGTCAATACTGCATTATTTCTCAGGAGTTCTATTGCCAGATCACAGGAACTAAAGAATCCCTTTCCCTGCATATGGAGTAAGGTATGATAAAAATACATTTCACACCAGCCTAATGAAAAAACATGAACATCTGGTAGGTGTTCACTGGAAGAATTCAGTTACAAAATTAGTTAAATTACATTGACTCCAACCGCAATCATAATTTAGGGAAATAATGAGGGAAATGATGTTACTGCTAACAGTAACACTGCATTCTTCCTATCGTCTGAAATACGGGACACTAGCTGGGCAAAGTCAACTCCTGCCTTGAACCTGCTGTAGGGAGGGTATCAATCCCAGCCTGGTTATGTTTCTGCTACACAACTGAAGGACTGACACAGTCCTTTCAAAGCCAACCACCTGTGGCTTTCCAGAATCAGTAAAGAACTCTAAGCTACTCGTTACCGAAGTGATGAGGACCCTTAAGGATTTGGGCCACACACACACAATCCACTCATTCAAACAGTAAAGGTCATTAATTATAGGAAATCAATTTGTATACAATGTTTTGAGCTAACTTTCACTTATATAACCTCTAGCCTTCTATTCTGGAAGATTTAGAGCTCCCTTCTGGTAAAGGCATGTAATTAAGCAATTAAAACATATTAACCTGACAGTAGAAAAAAAAAAAAAAAACACAGGCTTTACAACACACTCCATGAAGGGAGAACCTCATGACCAGGTACCACCAGAGGAATTCCCAAATATTCCAAAAAGAAACCTACAGAAGAGACAACCACTCAGATACAGACACACCATGCTGCTAGCCTAGTAATGTTCCAAACCCAAGTAACTGCAGCTGTGCAACAAAGCCTAAGGTTTCTCAACAGTTTCTTAAATTTTGACAGGAGAAAAAGTAAATAAGAAAGTTTGTCCACTCTGTTCCTTTGCTGACACTATGTTGATTTATCTGTTAGTAATTCAGGTCACTTAAATTTATTATGAACTGCACTCCCCACTAAAAGACTACCAATTTGTGTTCTACATCTGTTGACATTTGGAAAGTTTTAAAGCCAGACTAGCTGTCTGTATAAATGAGCACTGCTATTTTTTTTAATCTCTTTTTTCTAAGCAGTACTGAAGCAAGGAAGACAAGTGACAAATGCCTATCTTGTTTCTTACCTCCTGTTAATTCCATGGTTAGCTTCTCATTCTCAATCATCTTCTTTTTCTCTTCCAACTCTGCAATCAGATTTTCTTTAAGCTCAATTTTCTTATCTTCAAATTCTTTTGCTGCTGCCTTCTTTTCCTTGACATAATTTTTTTCCACTTGATCTGTCTAATGCAAACCAGGAGATAAAACAGTTAGCTGAGGAGCCAATGTCCCAAATCAATGATTCAGAAACACCTTCTTTCAACTGCTGTGCTTTGATTAGCTTTTCAGTTCAAAACTATAGCTCATTGTACAGCTTATCAATATTTAAATAAAACAAACAGAATACCATCTAAATATGACTAAGCGAGTGGAGCTACTATCAGCAAAAGAATTAATCCTTTTTAAACCCACTTTAGTGGGGCATACCTATCAAGTGTCTAGCAGAAAGCTCTTCAGATTTTAAAGAATCATTATCTCTTATCACCTCAAGCAAGCTTAAACATCCCTTTTAAACCATCAAAAACACAGCCAGCATACAGCAGTACAAGAAAAGATATATTTACTTTTTAATTCTATTTTAATGGCAGTCTGGAAATTACTTGAGGTAATACCCTCAGAATTCTATATTCAACTGTAACAACACTACAGGAAAAAAAACTGTGAAAACAAGTACTAGTTGATAAAACTGCAGGTTTAAGTCCTTGTATAAAGTTTAACAAGTATTTTGACAAATTAAGAGTACTTACTTCCAGCTGGAGAAACAATTCTGAAAGAAGAGACAGAATCAATTTATTATCTCAAAAGATGCACAAAATTATTTAACATTTTAAGTCATTTGATACTGCAACCAAAAGCGTACATGCTCATCCCACCTCTACCCTCACTTTGCAGTTTTATGCTGAAAATAATGTAACCATGGAAAAAAAGACAAAAATATATTGTTAACTGAAGTTTTCTACAGATAGTCAAGCAGATTTGCAAAGCTTACACAGCAGTAAGCCATTCTTTTCAGATCAGCTACTAATTCCATCAGTGAATTAGTAAATGAGTCAGTGGGTAAATCCTAACCACTGCTTCATTATCTGCATTCTCAAAAAAAAAAAAAAAAAGAGAACAACCCTCAGCATGGGAAGGATAAACACAAGACCATCCTGTCATACTAGGCAGTTGGATTTTTATCATAGAATTCAAAGTTATCACAATCTGCCCTCCTGTGGAAGAAATATGATGCTGCAGCACCACTCCTTGCCAGCCAGAAATGTTTGTATTTTGTCTTAATTTTATCTAAATGTCCCAGTATTTCTGGAATACCACTCCAACAAACATGACATTTGTCTCAGAAGAAAGATTCCTGTGAGCAAGAAGTAGTTCAAATAGCTTAAATTCTTCAAGCAAATCCTTCACTATCCCAAGCACTTTTAGAAGGAGATAGCTTGCACTACTGAAAAGTTGGAATATATTAGGCATCATACAACTGCCACTGCCTGTTTTATCTCCCAGTATAACGGTCAAGGCATTCGAGAATTCACTCAACTTTTCTAAAAGAAAAAAAATTACATTTCCTATTTCCATGTAACAGCTTCTATAAAAGGCCCCTCTTCGGTATCCAGGATTAGAAATTACTGAAAAAAGAACAAGAAGGAAGGCAAGCAAATCGATCTGGTTGCCAAGCCATTTCTCTGCAGTAACACAATAAAGACCACCCGGAGGGGCTGAGAGCTAAGCACTTCAAAAATTAACTTGGTCCTGTGCTCCTGAAACAGCGAGCCAGAAGAGCAAGTACAGGCAAACCGCTCAGTGTCACGGCTGCACTGGGTAGCACCTTCAGCAGCAACCCCTCTGTATTCGCTGTTTCAGGGCTCAAAAAGATCTTTGAAAAAGCAGGCAGTCCTCATTTTCTATTTCTGAAAATACAAAGCAGTACACCTGGAGGTTTCGCACAAGCTACGTGAAAGAACAAACCAAGGTGGAAAACTGTGGGTTAGTCATGATGCCAGATACATGAAACATTTTTACGTGCTCTATTTCACACAAATGAAGACTAAAACTGTTTATCAATGTTTATCAAGGAAAAGAAAAATCAAGAAAGATTCCATCATGCTTCACGTACTCAAAAGAAACTACACACTACCCTCAGAGAGGGAAAAACTCTTCACTGCAGCAAGTTCCCATTCTTTAAAAGATAGAATTACCATTATTTTGCTTCAGGTGTTACAAAAATTGGGCGTTTAAGGTGAATGCATCTCTTTGAAACAAATCCAGCTTACCTGCGTTTCGTATCCTTTCTTTATACTGCTGGTCCAACTTTTTCATTCTTTTCTGATATTCCTGAAGAGTACCTAGGTTGAAATAAATTGGGGATTTCAACTACATCTTTAATTATTCCTTGTATTCAGTGCTCCTCAAAGGGCAATACGCTACTTGACACACGAACAGTAACATCTGAAATCAGGAAACTGCAGTTCTGGCTTATTTTGATAACCATTTTCCCTGTTTATTTGTTTTTTCAGAAAGCAAGATGACTGCTTTTAAGAAAGGCTCTCCATACTGCACAGAGGCTTAACTACAAGCATGCACAGGGAAGAAGGATGGAAAGTAGCTGGTATTTCTCCTTAAGCAGCAAAACAGAACCAATATTCCACCAGTGAAGAATCTCGTAATCCCCATCCTTCTGTGACCTCTGCAATTGTTCTCCAACCAAATACTGAAGAGTGCTGAAAATTGTTTAGAAAAAAAAAAAATACTCCCTTCAAAGCTTACCTTCCTGCAATTGTTGCAATTGCCTCTTAAGAGATGCCAGTTTGTCCTGATACATCCTGCGAAGTTCAAGAACACACAACTTTATATTAGGAGGCAAACAGGCATGGTTTACTTCAAACTCTGCTTTGGTTACAATGTGTTTATGCTGAACTGAAAACTTTTCAGAAGAACTTCAGGAAACAAGTAAAAGAACATTTGTCATTCAAATGAAAGATCGTCATTCATGCACTCCACCTAAAAAGCCCACAACCCCACCAGTTTCACAAAGCAAAGAATTGTTTCCGTAACAGTTCAGCAAAACCAGAATTCATATTTAACATGAAAACCCATCACGATGTTTAGATCTACAGACACCGGAAACTTTACAACAGAATCATTCTGCTCCTTTGTCAAATTGTGACATGTGTAACAGTTTCCTACATACAAAAGATAAGGCATTTCCAGATCTTGACATCATCTATTAAAAAAAAAAATCTCTACCACACACACCAAAAGAAAACAAAACCAAAACTAAAAGCAAAGTCTATTCCTGGTTCCGTTGCAGACTCGCATTTCCTTTCTCACGTATCTGTGGTTTAACACAGGCCAAGTCTTCTTCAACTGTATACAAAAAAACACCTCCACCAGTAAGAAAGAACACCAAATGCTGCAAATACACCTTAACATTAAGAGGAGCTATTTCAAGTCTCCAAAAAGCCACTCTTCCTGGACAAGACTGGCACTCTGTTGTTTAGTGGATGTGAACAGACACCTTGCTTTTTGCATGCCTTGTATCAAGTAGCTTTGTTTTCTTTAAAGGATCTGCCTGCAGAGGGATTCATTTGCAGGAAAACTGAGCTGTTCCCAGGAACCGGTACCTGCCTTTGTTTGAAACAGCACTTTGTTTCTTGAGCTGAGAAAGTGATTGAGAAGAAATATGCACCCATTAGCTATAGCATTGGTGTAGAAACTTAAAAACACAAATCTTGGCCCAAAACATCACACAGCTTATGCAAAAGACACACACCTGCCCCGCTCCCCAATAACAGAGCTACTTTTTGTTAGGTTACTTACTGCTCTTTCATTTCTACATAGTCCTCTTCCTCATGTTTTGCCAGGTCAGTCTCACTGGCATCCTCAGTATCTAAGTGAGGTAAAAAACAATTTGTTAAAACTAAAACAGCATTAAAAAAAACACAGTAAACAATTAAAAAAAAATCCCAGTCAGGCAATTTAACCTCAAATAAATATATAACCAAATAAGCAACTGCAGAGATAAGTTTAGAATTGAATCATTTTCTATACAACTGCAAGTTATCCCAGATAAATCCTCCAGTAGATTTGCAACAAAGCTTACATCAAGTTCAAGCAACGATGACTTAAGATAGTCTAGTAATTTCTTCCTAATTTAAGTCTCCACATTAGTGCTTACAAATACTAAAGTGAGATGGTAACACAACCCTAGGACCCCAAAGAATGTTTCCCAGCCTCCTTCCTATTGTTTCGCCCAGGAAATAATCTCCTCTGTGGAAGGCTAGGACTGAAACACCTCTAACTGATTCACAATGCCTCTGCAACTCGACCTGAAACACTCCAAATGGAAAATGCTACAACTAGATGCTGTTACGATTTACTACAAAGTCCTCACCAAAGATAAGCTACTTGCTAAGATCCCAAACACCAGCACTAATAAAGACAGCCCTGGCCTTACAGAGAGAGAATATAAACTGAAAAAAAAAAAAAGAAAACAGTACAAAACTGCTAGTTGGTGGCTACTTCTTTGCATATTTATTAGCCATAAGACTCAGGTAGCCAAGAATGAATAATAAATATCCTTTCTTCTCTGAGGAGAAGTCAATTTCTCTTGGCTGGGGTTGTGATGGAAAGGGTACAGCTGCAGAGCCTAAACTGAAGCAATATTCCCTAGGTGTGGGCGGGGCTGGCACTCTCTAAAAGAAAAAAAAAAGCAAGATTTGATTTGAGCTACAAAGAAACACCTTCAGGTGTGGTGTTTTTTTTTTCACAGCTCTCCAGGCTTGGCTCCAGCTCCTCATTCACAAAGACACAGATCTAATGGGAGTTTTGCTGACAGCACCAGGGACTGTCACAGGCCTGTTCTTCACCCCCTTTACTTGCTACTTTATGCACCCTGGACCCCAGGACCCTCTGGGTTTCACTTCAGCTTCCCTTCTGCATTGCTTTCCCAATCCCCCCACAAACCCCTAACACCTCCTTGCACCCCCTGCCTTCATTCCCCAGGTTCTCCTCCCTCACCCACCACCCTCCCCCGAGCCCCCACACCCCACAGGCTCTCAGCAATCCCCACCCTCCCAACACCCCAGCACCTCCCCCTTCCCCTGCCGTGACCCCAAACCCCCCTCCTGGCTCTCCCCTTCTCAGCCTCCCCACACCCCCCCCCTTCTCCTCACGTTTCCATCCTCCCACAGGAAACCCCAGGCGCTCACCAACCTCTCATTTCCACAGCATTTTCCTGCAGTTTCTGAGCCTTTCTCCCCCAAACCCACCCGCCCCCTCCCCTCCTCCCTGACCCCCCGCTGCCCACCACAGCCCTGGCCAGGCCCAGCCGCCACCAACCCTCATCCGAGTCGCGGGCCCGAGCGCTCCGCTCGCCGTCCTCCTCCTCGGCGCTCTCCAGCTCCTCCTCCTCGTAGTACTCGGGCCCGGGGGGCATGGCGGGGGCCGGAGCCCCGGGCGGCGTGGCGGACACCGGCGGGGTGGCGGACACCAGCCCGGCCGCGCTCATGGCGCCGGGACGCAGCGGGAGCCGTGCCCGCACCTCCGCCCGCCCTGCCGCCTCTGCCGGGCTGCTCGGCAACCGCGCCAGGACCCCGCCGCCGCTTCCGCTTCCTCCCGGTCTGCCCTCGCCGCTGCCTGAGCGCCCGGCGCCGCGGTGCAGGCGAATGCGGCGGGCACCTAAGGGAGGGGGCCTGCGCGGCGGGGCGGGCGGGCAGGCGGCGCTCGGTGCCCGAGGTCGCGGGTTCGAGTCCCCGGCACGGCGGCGGGGTTTGGTCTGCCCAGAGCCGTGTGGTTGGGTTTTGCCACAGAAAGCTCCTGTCCCGCTAAAAAGGGCCTGCCCAGCACCTGCACAGCTTCCTCACTGTGTTTGTAACACGGACGAACAGTTTCCATGTTCTCCATGCCCTCGTCCGAAGGCCAGCAGGGCGCTGTGGGCACACACCCCGCTGAAGCGGCTCCTCCGACACAGCACCGACGGCCAAACCCACCCCCAGTGCCTCATGTCAGCCAGGGAAAATAATGCCATTTGGCTCCTTTCTGACATGGCATGGCACACTGACCGGTTACTCTCACTGCATGTAGCGGATCTGTGCTAAACACTGAACGGTTGTGAGGCGCATTCCTCAAACACACAGCGTGTCGGCTCACAGGGACCCTAAAAACATCTTAACCAGGGAAAAGGAAACACAACAGAATGGGTTTTATCTAAAGGCCTGCGCTCCCAAACACTGCAGTGCTTTTTAGAACCAGCTAAACCCGGCCATGGGCTGCCCAGAGGGGCACCAGGTCGTGCTCTTTGTGCTGGGAAGGGCAGGAAGGCAGCACGTGCACTTTGCTTTTCTGCAGCTCATCCCGAAGAGCTGTTTGCACTGACTGACAAATTTTAACTTGGAACGCCCATGCAAAGCATGCGCTATACCTTTTTACATAAGTAAATATTGCCTTTTACAGGACATGAGGCTGAGACCCGGCTACAAGTCAACGCCAGTGGGAGCAGCTCCCAGATCTGTGTCCCATTTGAGGGTAGCTGGTGCAGACCCTTGAGCTGCTCCCTGTCCCCCTGCTGCCAGGGGCTGCCAGCCAGAGCAAGAGCAAAGCTCCCACAGGTTTCCTGGATGGACATAGCAATAGCTGGGGCTGTGAGTGGCCACAGGGCGAACAGAAACAGGGCTGTATGTGGCCACAGGGCGAACAGGAATGGGTGCGGTGGCTGCTGCCACATCCCAGGGGCTGCACGGCTGGTTCTGTGCTTGGGCTGCTCAGATCGCTTTCCCAACATCACACAGTTGCAGATAGATCAGACGGGCTAAAAGCCTTTCTTAGGACTGACCAACGCTTCCCCAATTTCCTTTCTCTCTTCCACGTGTCCACCCATCAGCTCCCCAGCAAGCTCTGCTCACGCTGCTGCGGACAGCGGATGAGTAAACACGTTGCAAGTGTGGCTGAGCCAAGGCTGCCCTTCCAAGGTTAATTCATCCCGTGTTACTCTGCCTCAGCACTTTCTGTTTGTCTGAAGCGGATCTACCCTTTAAGAGAAGCCTGCCTTTCACACACCACACAAAGGGCAGGTGCATTTACTAATGTGGGGACACACAAGAATCCTTTGAACAGAAGGAGCTGTGTACGGTGAATGAGTAAGAAACTGGACAGAGTTGCTGATGCAAAATTTTTTAGCTTATTCTGTGGTCAAAACTGGAATCTCGCTGCTTGCTCCCTCCGTACCAATTCCTGATGTTTAATATTAGCCTTCTGGAGACACCCTATACTGTCATCTCTCAGGCATTTAGTGGGAACCCAAGGGAGGAGGTTCAGCTTTAAGGAATGCCCTGTTTCCCTTACAAACACAGAAACTTAACTGTCTACGCCCCAAAGAGCTATCAGGGAAAGTTTAAGCTTCTTTGTCAAGCTGTTGTTCTTGGCTCACGTTTCCATCAAAGCTGTTTTCCTCATCACAACTCACTTATTGTTTCACATACATTCACCCGGTTTGAAGGCAGATTTCTGCATCCTGCTTTGTCAGCATCAGCTATTCATAGAGGAGCTGACGCAGAAGTCACGCTCAGTGTGTTTTTCTTTCCGTTTGTAAGAAATGGAGAAAAAAGTCACAAAGCTGTAAACAGAGGGCATGGCAACCCACTTCTTGTGTGAGTTAGATGAGTGTAGCTACAAAACGTGTAATATAGTGCCTTGGCCTGTGAGGAACAGACAACGTAGAATCACTAAGGTTGGAAAAGCCCTCCAAGATCAGCTGCTCCAACCATCCCCTACCACCGATGGCACCACTAAGCCGTGTCCCCGAGCACCACATCCAACCTCTCCTTGAACACCCCCAGGGACAGTGACTCCACCACCTCCCTGGGCAACCTGTCCCAACGCCTGACTGCTGTTTCTGACAGAAATGTCTCCTCATTTCCAACCTGAACCTCCCCTGGCTCAACTTGAGGCCATTCCTGAGGCCACCCATGAGAAGAGGCTGACCCCCAGCTCCCCACCCCTTCCTTTCAGGCAGTTGCAGAGAGCAATGAGGTCTCTCCTGAGCCTCCCCTTCTCCTAACTAAACAATTCCTTTTCCCTCAGCTGCTCCTCACAGGACTTGTGCTCCATGGCTGAGGATTGGGGCCTTATAGGGCCACGAGGGGCCATGAAACAAAAGGTGTGGAAACTTGAAAGCCGGGTGTTTCAGGCCGAGGGTGTTGGTACAATGCTGGTGAAGGGCCTGGAGCACAAGTCCTGTGAGGAGCGGCTGAGGGAGCTGGGGGGGTTTGGTGAGGAGGAGGCTGAGGGGAGACCTCATTGCTCTGCAACTGCCTGAAAGGGAGGGGTGGGGAGCTGGGGGAAGGCTTATTCTCACGGGTAACTGATAGGACCAGAGGGAATGGCCTCAAGTTGAGCCAGGGGAGGTTCAGGTTGGAAATGAGGACACATTTCTGTCAGAAGGAGCAGTCAGGCCCTGGGACGGGTTACACGGGGAGGCGGCGGAGCCCCCACCCCTGGGGGTGCCCAAGGCGAGGCGGGACGCGGTGCTTGGGGACACGGCTGGGTGCCCCCGGTGCTCGGAGATGCGTGCACCACACGCACCCAAACCCATCTCCCAACTTTTAACAACTCCGTGCCTCACCCCCGACCCCACCACATCCCCCCCAGCCCCACCTCCCCCCCTGCTACCCCCCCCTCAGGCCGCCGGGCCCCGTAACCGAGCACCGCCCCCCCCCCCCCCCTTCAGGCCGCGCAGCCGAGCGCCGAGCGAGCGGAGGCAGCCGCGCCCCGGGCGGCGGCGGCGGGGCCGTGGCAGGAAGCGGCGGGGCCGGGCCGCCCCCCCCCGCAGGCCGGCACCGGGTGAGCGGCGGCGGGGCCCGGCCGCGGGGAGCCGCAGGGAGCCGGGGAGGGGGGCTCGGGGCACCCCGGGATCCCCTAAAGGGGGGTGAAGGGGGCGCCGGTGCCCTCCTCCCCCCTTCCTTTCCCGCGGGGGTGGTCCCGGGGAGTTTTTTTTGGGGGGGAGGGTTTTAGGGGGGGGAGAGGGGGGGGTCGTGGTCGCGACATGGTCGTGACAGGGGTGTGTTGTAGGTGCCGGATGTCCTCGAGCAGCCCCTGGGCCCGCCTGGGAAGGAGGAAGGAGGAGGCCGGCAGGCGAGCGGTGAGCCCCCAGGTCTCGTTCCCTGTCCCCCTGCCCCGTGTGTGTCCCCCTCCCCCCCGTCCCCATCCCCGCTGTCACTTTCCCCCCCTCCCCTGTCCCCCTCTCCCCCGGCCCCCTCTCCCCTGTCACTTTTCCGTGTCCCCATCTCCTCCACTGCTCCGTTTCCCCCTCTCCCTGTCACTTTTTTTTTTTCCATCCCCATTTCCTCCCCTGTTTCTTCTCCCCCAGTGCTAGTTCCCGTCCCGTCCTGTGCAGGTGCTCCCGGCCGAGCTCCCCTTGGCCACGCCGTGGGGCTGGGTGCTGTGGGTGCAGCTGCCATGTTTGGCTGGGCACCGCCGGGCAGGTGCTGCTGGCAGGGCCTCCTGCCCTGCACCACAACCAGGACTCGTCCCAGCACTGCCTTGAACCCGTGTCCAACCCCAGAAGGGTTTCGGGTTGTGTTGCCCAACTTACGAGGCAGCGAGCCGGGCAGCAAGACGTCAGGTGTAGGGTTGGGGGTTCAATGGGGGCCATGCGCTCCTTATCTCGTCCGCAGGAGCTGTGAGGTAGCGCGGCGTGGTTAGGAGTTAGCTGGGTAAGAGCTCAGCGGGGGTATGACACCCCACTGTCATTTATGGTACTTTTGTTTGGGGACTCCAATTTGCTCCCCAAGGTCTGCGTATGTATTTTAAACAAAGGGTTGATGTCCGTGAGTTCTGCAGTGCTTACAATCACGTAGCTGATTTCACTGCTGGCTGTTAGTTTAATGAATCAGGCAGAAGATACACTGAAGTACGTGGGTTGCTTTTCTGTCATGTAGTCGATTGTCGATAGAAACAATACCATGCTTGCTCTTCTCTTTTTCTGTCTTCAGAACTGTAGCTGGCTAATTCTGAGTTCTCACGGAGTGTTGAAACAGTACAGGGAGTGTTTCAAGTGTAAATGCCTCTTCACAAACTTTCTTTTTTAACATTAACACATACCCAACAACTTAATGCTTTCTGGACCCGCAGTGAGGCTGCAACCTGTTTGTAACTATTAATGTGTGATTTTTCAGATTAACATTTCTTACGCCCAGTAACGAATCGTACATCTTATCATAGAGCTCATCAGATAACTTCCTCTAGCATCTGATTTGAGGGACAACTTTAGCTAGGCCGTTTCCATCTTTCCTACCCGGTGTGAGGGTTTGCAGACGGTAAACTAATTCTTCTGTGTGTGTGTGTTACAGAGATTCTCTGTAGGTACTTCCCTCTCAATTTGTTACCTTTGTTAATTATTTTTTTAAAAAAATCCTTGCTAGTCAAAACTTTTTATGGTGAGATATTTCTGGTTATGTGCATTTGAAACACCAACCTTTTCTCAGCAGGCTTTTGTTGCTAAATGTATTTTTCGTAGTGTGTTGCAGGGTGGGGTGGTCTCTTAACAGAACTGGGCTCTGTCTTTTCTGATTAATCAGCTGCCTTCCCTGCGAGAGAAAACCCTGTCAATTTGCAGCGAGTTTGGAGCCTGCTGGGCTAACACACGCTCTTCAGGAACCCCCTGTGGCAGGGGAGGAGAAGGGTAGGGATGCCTGGGAAGTTCCCTGCACAAAGCAGGGGGATCAGGGGGCTTGGAGCAGAAACACAGAATCCAGCACACACTCAGCTCTTTTAATAGCTGTGCTTTTACACAACAGGAAGAAAAAAAGTAGTAAGCCAAAACGTGTTTTATTTTATGCTTATTATTTTCAAACTACTTCCTTATTTGAAGACCATTGATTCAACCAGAATGATTTGATTGCCTTTGGCTTGGTGCTGTTTAATAAACATTATGCAATTGAGTTCTGCCTGCCTGTTCGTTAGCTCTTCCACGGGTAGCTCAGTGAGTTTTCCTGACGCTGTCTCGTTATCGGTCTCTGAAATCACTGTGGTAGGTTTGTTTTAATTCATCAGGTGAAGCTTACTTTAGAAAGTACTGATCTGGTTAATCTATGGTTCCTTAGGTATTTTGAGTGAAAAAAAGGGAAATCTGTTGCACTGTGCAACCTCTTTACCTAGTTCACAGGTAGCAGACACTCGGACTTGCTCATTTTGATCTGCTGTGGCTGCGTTACAGCGCATGAAACTCGACTGCGGAGTGTGCACTGCTTAAAATCATCATTGGTATTGCATGGCAGGAGCTGTAATCTGCGTGAACCTCAGCTCCTAATTAATGAGGAGGAAAGTTGAAATAGAAATTAAAGTAAATTAATTGGGTGTGGTTGTCCATCTCCTGAGTTATTGAAGGATGGTGGAAATCCGGGCGCTCTCCTTGTTATTTGCAGTACCGTGGCAGCTTCTGCTGAATCTTTGTGAAGCCCCAATTCCCAGCATTAAGGAATAATGCTTCTGACATGGTGTGTGCTTAGAGTTTCAAACTATGTGAGGGTCTTTAATTTTTACTACATGTTGGGAATATGAAAAGTGTATGTTGGTAAAGATGGGTAGCTTTTGTCTCAGATTGAATTCAATCAATTTCTTTTAAATACCAGCAGTAATCTTTTTTCAAAGAGATTTTTGAATTATTTTGTTTTGGCTAAGCTTGTTCATGCTGAGGATGGCAAAAGAATGTGTTCGATTTGAGCAGTTTGGAAGTTTTCATGTTTGTATACAGTCATCCTGGTGTTTGTGTTGCCTTACTAGACTTTCCCCTTGTGTAAGAAATTGTTAGTTTGATTTGTAGGGACAGGGAAATTTCAAATTTAATATAGGGAGCCTACAAAACAAGTTTGTCGGAGTTGTTAATGAAGTAAGCACTTATTCCCTTGAACAGGTAATAGCTTGATGTTGATGTAATTACTATTTTTTTTCCCCACCCTGAATATTAGGTCAAAATGGACTCTGGTTTCATTAAATTTGGAATAAACCAATAGCTATGTGGGAACGCGCAGTTGCATGCCTCACTACTTAGCTACAGGAGGCTTTCAAATAAGGACATTCTCACAGTTTGTCTGGCGTATTAATTTCAATCAGTCTTTCTGAATGGGAGTATAATTAGGCACAGCTGGATCATGGGGTTAATTGGGCAAAGTTAGAGAGCCCATCAGAATCAGACTAACTAATCTCCAGCAGCAGCACTTCCTCATGAGTAGTGAACTCGCCTGGAGTTGCACCCCCTTCTGCTGTGACTTGTTAATTGTGATACTGAGGGGAGACAGAGTAATTCCTCAGAAGAAGGGCAAAGGGTGACCTTGGTGTGCTACGGTTTCAGACCTTCCTGACTCTGCTTCAGTACAAGCAGCTTTTGTGCTGCTGGCCGTACTGTCTTTGGGAAGGGAGAGCAAGCTGTTCGTATTTAGTCTAAGAAATTGTCACTGTAAGAGTGGAGACATTAACCCGGCAATCCTGGATAAATTCCAGTTGAGGAGACTACACGCTGCCTATCTACATTGGTTTGGTTTTCACTCTTCTTGCACGCTGCTCTCCAGCATTACTGTGTGTGGCAGATGCTATGGCCCAGACTAACTGTTTTTCAGCGCTGGGGGGAATGAATCTCATGTGTAGTGTGCGTGTTTTCGCGTATGTTAAACAGTTTGGGATGAAAGGTGTTATGACTACCAGATACTATCACCATTTTATGAGCAGGATGTCCTTATTAGATTGGAATTGATGAACGCGTGCCAAATTTTGTGCATGGTGAGTCTGCCTCTGTCGAGATGCAAATATTGTGCTCAGTTTCCACGTTAAACCTCTTTTCCCCTTCATTTCTAGTTAGTGATCTGAGATTTTGTTGCAGAGATGCTGGCACAAAACTGAGCAGATTTATTTAGGGTGGCCCTTGCACATTTTAAGTGTTTAAGCCAGATTTACAAGAATATAGTCACTGATGATTCATGTTGAGATGATGTTTTTCTTCCTTGTAATGGAACATATGGGAGTACGTAGCATATGGTACTGCTGAGAAATGTTAGACGCAGAGCACTGATTTGATTTATTACACAGCAAAAAGTTTGGATTTTTAGTCTAACGCTGGGCAGAATGCTTTGTAAACAAGTCAGGCTGCTGCTTTGTATTGGATGCACTGTCTCATGGTGGTAAAATTTCAAATAATTCCTGTAAATGAAAACAGCTTTCTTACAAAACTTGGGTTTGTTGCTGTTGTACTGCTGCAAATGTATGAATTCAATGGGTGTCTCATTAAGAGATGCAATTGTTTTTTTGAGACCAAACCAGCCTTGGATTGTATTGCCTTGACAGTTCACCCAGCCTTCTAGCCGTCCAGGGGGTGTTTATCTTCTTACGGTTCCGTCTTTGCACCTTAAAAACTGAAATCTCATGTGTCTTATGTGGGGAGTAGAGGTGTTAAGAACATGTAAAGATATGGTTTTCTTCCTGTCTTAGTAGCCAAAGCATCTTCCTTCTGGTGTTCTTGTTCTTTGTTTGGTCTTCTCATGACTTAGGGAGTTTTTTTTCAGCGGGTGGGTGGTGGGAGTCAACGCACACCTTGATTCTTCCAGCGAACAAGAGAAAGTGTACAAAAGTGCAGCTGGAGAGCTCGTAAATTCCAGTCCTGCATTTCCTGGTGCTCTCCTGCATTTCTTAACTATTCATCTTTCAGGTGATTATAATCTCTTCAGAGCAGGCAGCACTTCTGCTGTGGCTTTGTAGCTCTTACTACAGTGTTACTGGAGCTCACAGGTGCTGTAGTAATACAGATAATAAATAGTTGGTCCTAAGAGTACATTAAGCTTTTTCAAAACTGATTTGAGCAATAAACAGGAACCTTATAATGTTGTTTCTGTTTATTTTTTTTTCCCCAAAAGAAAAACTGAACTCTTACTTGTAAACATTGAAGTACTGGTTAAAACAGACACTACAGCAAATGGTTACTGCTTCTATTTCTTGTGCATTTACTTATTTTGACTCCGTCAGAAGAAGTTTCAGTATGTTGTAACCATGAGGGGGGGTACGTTTGACATAATTTAAAAACTGATCTTATTTAGTAAAAGGAAGTATTATCTATAGTTGAGGGAATTAACTAATGACCTCTTGTTACCATCGCCTTCAGGATCTTAGATCCTCCCTTTGCTTGCCTCATTCTTAGTCATAGATTGGAAAAGGAAAACAGGCTTTTTTCCCCTCCCAGCTCTTAAGTAGTTTCTCAACTTCAGATGAACTGATCGGTGACCTAAACCATGTGCATAAACTGAAATCAAGAAAATATTCCCTCTTCGCTTGCAGAACATACTGCTTTTATTAGAGCTCACATAGCACATCGACTAACTCTGGGTCCCAGTTTTAACCTGTACGCAGAGTGTTTTTAAAAAGCATTGCCTCAAATTTTAATTTGTAACGTTTTTGATCTTAATGTTAGTTGGGGTTTCAATTTGAACTCTAAGCTTCTTTAAAAGAGGGGGGGGGGGAAAACGCTTCTTATCTGGAAAGTATGCGAGTGGCAGAGCAGATAAGATAATTGAGACCTAAATGTGAGCTGGGATGGAAACAGGCTCTGTTAAGAGTCAGGTCTCATCCGCTTTGCCACGCTCAGGCGATGCTTTAATGCATGCTAATGCAATGAGTTTTGTCATCCTGTGGAGAACGCAGTGAGTTTGGACTCCTTTGCTTTTGCATTAGGAGAGTGGAGCCTGTAGCTGAAGTGTTAGAGGCGTGTTTTCATCTTCTCAGAAATTCTGTGTTCATCTGCGATGCAGACAGCCAAATAGGAGGGTTTTATGCCTTTCCTGCTTGTAACCACATTTTTCTCCTAAAGTGAGGAATAGAAACAAAAAACGTTCCAGCTTGTTGTTCTGCTTGGGCAGTTGTTTCTCATAATTGCTTGTGTGAATTTGTGTGTGGCTTTCTCGGTGACAGGATCCCCCCAAGAGCTGCCAAGCTTTTTATTTTAATTTTTTCCCATAGAGGAAGAGCTCCCGTTCTCACGTGTTCAGGGCTTGATGGTGGCCCAGGTGGGTAGGAGGTGGTAGTTACCTAAATTTAGGAAAAATGAGTAACTACTGGAATGATTTTGTTTATGTTTTACAACACAATGTCTTATTTAGACTTTAATTAAACTCTGCTTCTGCAATTTTCAACGTGGTATTTTAGGGTTGTTTTTCCCCAAAAGTACTCAATTCCAAATCAGGTTAAGCTCTGTTTCCGTAAGATCCTAGAGGCTTTTTTGTTGTTGTTGTTGCAGAATCATGGTTGGGCTTAGTCTCCTGCTGTGAGAAATACAGGCTGGGAATCAGACCCACTGCGGGTGATAGAAGCTGTAGTCCGGAAAAGGCCCTTATTCTTTGTAGTGTTGTATTAAGAAGAGAAGTAAATGTGTGATACACAGCAGGAACAGTTCAAATCCTAAAGTCTGACCAAATATTACCTCAGATAGGTGCTCCAAATTTCAGGTGTCACCAGCCGTTTCTGTTCGGGGTCTGCAGCTGTGCGCTGAGGTGAGGTTTCTGTCAGGCGTCGGTCGCTTGGCGCCTCAATACAGCAGGAAGAAAGTTGCTGGCTAAAGCTTGTTTGTTGTCCCTTTTTCCTGTCCACAGGGTGATTTTTGGGGAGAACACGTTATATTTTTCAGCAGTTTTATGGCTTGTTGATGTGCTGAGCCCAAGCCAGGTGGAGGTGGCCGTATGAGAGCGATGTCCAACGTGCTGGCGTTGGAGGGACCGGGCCCAGGTCTGCGCCAGCCGGTCCGTGCCTGTGCAGCTCTGCTGGTGTTTAAGGTCAACTGCCTGCAAATCTTTTAGGAATACTTGTATTCAAATGCTATTTATAAGACCAGACTAATTTCTTTCTTCTTAATGATGGCCTTTTCGCTGATGACAGGGCTGGAATCCGGAAGGTCTGGATTCTGAATGCCACTCGTCAGCTGCGTATCCACAGGGAAGTCGTTTGCTAGATTTCTGCCTCTGTTTTTTATCTGTATTTAAATGGAGGGGGGGGGAAAAAAAAGATTGACTAATACCTACCTCACAAGGCTGTGAGAGCGCAGTCAGTAGCCTCATGCTGTGAGATCTCTGGAAAACACTGCAGGAATGTGCAAGGGGCTTATTATGGCTAAAGCCCTGGTGAGGAGAGAACTGGTTCCACCTGGGTTATTGTCAGACCATTCATTAAGGAGTCTTAATAGCCAAAGTGATGATAGTAGCTGCTCCTGGCTTCACCCTCAATTACCCTGGGTAGGTGCAGGCTGCTGCAACACCAGAGTGCTGGTTTGGAGCAGGACTGAAGCACACGCGTTTATGTTCGAGTCCGCCCTGAGCTCTTCATTTCTGTTTCACGGCTGGATTTGCATGCAGGTCAGGCCGTAGCCTAAGTGAATTTTGGCAGCCTGACATAGCAATGATTGCTTATTCTGCCACTAGCGAGCCCTTAGTGCCTTCTTGCCAAAAGAAGTCCTGTATGTTCAGCTGAAACTTTGCTTAGTATCTGCCTAACTCTTAATTTGCAGCATTTTCACTTAGCAAATTGAACAAAACATAAAAAATGTCAGGCAACAGAACTCTTAGTAATCAATATTAAAAGTTGTAAAACAAATATAAAAACCTCTTAAGATTTGGCAACCTTCAAGCTCAGGTTGCATTTTGACAACCTGTGACACTTTTGTATGGATGATCCTGCTGTAGTTTTTAATTTATTTGATAGGTTGTTTATAAAATATCTGCCAGGATCTTAGCCCTTCTGGCAGGCATTGTAATAAGCAACTATGCAGGAGAAGGAGAAAACCTATTTTAGGAAAGACCAGATATCCCTTTTTTTTTTTCCAAAATGAAGTCATCTTGTCAGCCATTAATAAGATACAATTGTTAAAATTTAATAACTTTCTAAAAATTCAATAGCACCATACCCTTGAAGGCAAGAAAGCTGAGGCCTAAATCCAACCTTATTTGTGTTTGTCTTTGGGGCTTCATCTCTTCATGATTATGTATGTAAACTTCTCTGTGACTTGCCAGACTTGAAATGTATTGATTAAAATACGAAGTCAGGTTCCTACTGAAACACAAGGCTCCAGGAGCTAGGGGTCCAGATTTTGGGAGCATCAAACTGTGATTTTAAATGATGAGACTGAAAGTTAATATGAATTGATGACCATGCTGTGCAGCAGGTGCTGGAGAGAGGACAGGGCTGGAAGGCGGAAACTTGCCCTGCTGCAGGGGCAGTGCTGCAGAATTAGGCTGGCGGTGATCTCTGGAAAAGCAAACAAACAGAAAAAGCCCCATACCACTGTTCAGTTTGACTTGCTGAGTAAATTGGGCAGTTTCGCTTTCCGTTTCTTGTGCATTAGCCCGGTCTGGCGGCATTTGTGCAGTCTGGGGCTGCAAACTGCACTGGAACACTTGAGTCAGAAATCGCTCGCCTTCCTTTCGCTCGTGCTTTACCTTGTTCTGGAGCTTTTTCTACGGAAGACCATGTCTGGAGGTCTACCCATTACTTGAATCTGCATTTTTAGAAAGGATTTTATGGTTGGATTTGGAATATAAACAAGGAAAGGCTCTCTTGAAAGGCTGATGTGTTATGTTGCGTGTTAGTTATTTATTGCTTTATGGCCTACATAGAAAAATATCCCTGCTGTAAAAAGTAGGGAAAGACCAAAGCAGAATGCTTGTCTCGTGAGCACTGGCAATGCTGACTGGAAGGTGATGGCAAGAAAGCAGATGGGTGTTGCCAAACACAGTTTTATTTCATGCTTCAGGTATACGATGGCTTTCTAAAATGTTGGGGCCTGATACAATGTGATGGAAATCGTGTGACAGGTGAAGTTAATTTCTAAATATTCAATCCCGTGTGTTCTTGAAGGGTGAGAATTACTTGGAGTGCACAACCAACAGCCTAAAATTAGCAAAGGAAGTACCAATGCATATTAATTTTCTTCAAATAGGCTGTTTGTTTTACTTAGACAAATGAGGACAGTTTCCTTGCTTTTTTTTTTTTCTCCTTTATTTTAGGCAGGTGCTTAGTAAGCAGTACAGCACAAGAGAAACCTTTCTGAGCACTGCTCAGCCCACCTGGCTCTCGGAGCCTTCCAGGGAACTTGCGGCGGCTGCGTGCAGCGTGAAACCTCTCCCCTGAAGGCCGCTGGGCTCCTGGAGGCAGGGCCTCCCCTTCCACAGGGCGTTTGCAGCTGTTGTCAGTGAAGCTGTGGGTGAGTCTCGAGGGTGCACAGAGAGGAAGTGGAAGAACTTTCGTATTTATGATCTCTGTCTTCCCAGTTGCCTTAAACAAAAAGGACGGCTCAATTCGTGCCGCCGTTTGTCAATCCAGGACTCCTGCAGAATTGGGTTGAAGGCCGAGCATCTGGAGGAATCTCCCTCAAGGTTTTTGTGTTCCTGCACCTGAAAAGCCATGTAGGAGCTGGTGGGATGGTGAGCATGAAGTTATTGTTCTCGACTTGTCTGCCTGGCAGGAGGAACTTCCTAGTGCTGACTGCTAATGTCACCCAGCCGCAAGTGTTCGCTGGTGCTCTTAGTCCGCAGGGGGGATGCGGGGCAGAATGTACCCCCCGCCCAGCATAATTTCAGAAAGCTGTTGCAAAGCTCACACAGAGTTGGTTTAAAATAAAAAGTAGGTATTTTAACCCAGGCTTTGCCCTCGGGTGGTTATTTCGAGGCTGCTGAATGGCGTTCAGCCACGTGTGGGTGCCGAGCTCTGTCACACAGAGCCGCCCCTGGTCCGAGGGGGCTGTAGGGTCTGCTTGTGGCTGTCAGGGCACTGGGTCAGTAGCTGTTACAGGTGACTTCTTCTGCCTCCTCTTCTCAGGGGGCAAGCTGCACAACGTGGAGGGATTTTTCTGTTCATGAACGTGTATGTGCCACCTCTTTGTTTAGAGGGCAGGGCAGAAGAACACATTGCCTTTGTGCCAGAAGTTGGCAAAGATTTTGGAGAGCTTTTACTTCTTTTATACTTTGCTATCTAAAACCTCCTTTTGAGAGTGGCATGTCTCCTGCACAACTGAATTTTACTCTTGCATTATTCTAGGTCTACTTTGTTTTCTTACTCCCTCACTTGCTACCCTCCCTCTTTGTTTTATGCGCAAAATGTGAAGACCAAATGCACCTAAAACACTGTGCTCTTGTAAATGTTGCATGTTCAGGAGTTTGATTCCTGTATTGGCAGAGCAGCAAGCTAAATGAATGTGCTTTGGTTATTTTCTGTTTTTTTTTTTTTTTTTTTTTTTTTTTTTTAATGAGACATCCAAGGGGAGGGAGCAAGCCTCCGAAATGAAAACTGTTTTTCTGTTCTGTGACCAGTCAAAATATTCTGGAATTAAAAGCAATGCTGGAGTAAATTGATTTTTGAACCATTTGTACGAAGAGCTAATTTTATGTAATTACTGGGGCGTGACTTTAAATTCTGGGCAGGACTTTGTGGCTTGGTAGCATCCAGTTCAGCTTCTGATGTTGCAATGAAGAAGGAAGTGAGCATGTGTGCGCCTGGGGAGGGGGAGAACGAAGCACTTCTGCCTAGCCACATAAGGTGGGAATTGCAGCTGGCTGGTTATTTTTAACTGCTAGCTATCTCATTGTGAATGTGAATCTCTTTATCAGACAGTTTGGTAAAGCCATCAGTTCGTTTTGGAGAATTGTTTTATAGCAAAATGCACTAAGCCAATGGCTTTGTCACCCCAGTTTTATTCATTAAACCTTTAAGTCTTTATGCAGGACTGGGTGTGATGTGTTTTGCAAGTATTTATATCTGCTGGTGACTTTTTGCAGTTGTACATCTAGAGCTAAAGGACACGAGCACAGTAGGGGCTGTGCGGAAAGATGAGACCTTACAGGTCGGCCTCAGGAGCTGGAAAAACACAGAAGCTTCATTGAAGGAAAAAAGTAAAAATAGTGGATCAGATTTTGCTTCCTTCTTGCAAAACCCTGCAACAATGCGGTTGCAAGGACTTCTTCATGGGGAGGAAGGAGAGCAGAAGATACCATCAGTTTCCATCGGTGTATTTTCCAGTCACTCACTGTGATAGTGATTCTTTTTGGTTGCTCATCCTGGCCTGAAAGCAGACATATGGGATGTTTCCATTTTAGGCTGTCCCGCGTAATGTATGAATAAATTCCCCCTTCCTATGTTGCTTTTGCCACAGTGGGTGAGCTTTCCTGCCCAGGATCAGTCTGTTTTACTGTACTGGCCTAAAATATCCGCCCTCTGAAAGTTCTGTGTGCTACCAGAACACCAGTGGAAGAAAATGTTCTAACTGTTTTGTCTCAGGGTTGCTGCTCTTAAAATGCCCTGGTAAAAATACCGAGTTCTCTGAACAGGGGGGATCCTAGGATCCTGGCTGGCCCTTGTTTTGCAGCTTGGCTGCTACCAGCAGGGATTGTGCTGCTGCCTTCCATGAGGAATAGCTGTGAAACCATCACCTCTCGTCACGCAGGCTAATAAGCATTGTTTGCACTGCATCTGTCTGCTGCCCTGTCACTACAGCTCCGAAACAGCGATGGCCAGAACAGAGGAGAAGCTTTCTGTGTCCCACAATAACTCTGGAAGCGGAGGAGCAGAGGTAGTGATGGCTCCTGATACAATTCAGTATGCAGTGGTGCTGACATGACAGGGGAATGCTGCCCTATTGGGGCACCAAGCAGTCTCTGTCCCCGTTTACTTTCAAACCATGTGTTTTGAAATGATTTTTATACGGCTTCAAACTGTCTCATGCTGACTCAGATTGGCTGGGAATGTCTGAAGGCTTCTAATCAGAGCACGGTTTCCTCTGTCAACAGAATGGGTGTATCCTGGCTATGAGTTTTTCCCTCTATTACAACAACATCTCCTTTCATGTTGATCTTGAAGGATCTGCTGCTCTTGCTATCTTTTTCTTTTCCGTCAAGACCAGTTCATTCACTGAGCCCGTGGTAGTGCCCTGGCTACCTGTTTGTGACGGGTCTTTCACTTCTTTTTGCTTAAGAAGCAGCGTTGAGATCTATGGTGTCTGAGTAAGAAAGATAAATGCTTTCAGGTTTTGGTTGTATAAGCCAACTCTGAATGGAAGTGCAGGAGGTAAATGACATTTGTGGGAAGTAAAAGCAGAGGTGTGTACATGCGTATATATAATG